AGCAAGTGAAAATATCCCTGATCCGGCATTGCTGCGTCAATACATATTCGCCCATATTCGTACAGAAATTTTAATAATAATTTATCACTCAGAGATTGGACTACTCTTTGATAACTGCTCTGATTACTGTTCAAAATAATAAAAAAAATTAAAAAAAGATAGTAAGATAAAAAATACTGAGTAGCCAAAGAAATCGGAAGCAAATTAGCCAGTACTATTTTTGAAGTAGGATTTAACGATAATCTATTGATCCAACAAAGGTTTTGAATTTTCTGCAAGTAGGTTATTTTAATGGATATTTGAAAATATTGATATTGATAATTTTTATTTAATTAAAAACTGATTTATAATGTTTAAAAATCTATGATAATAACAACAACCTCCAGTCATCATTTAAGAGAACCTTTAAAATAAATTTAAAGATTTTCTTTAATAATGATTATTTTATAAAACTGTTAAATATAAAGAAGATAATTTTGTTTTCATAAAAATCAAGAAATTCAATGAAAAAATCATTGATATGTTTATTAAATGGCTATAGAATTCTTGAAACAATATGGAACATTTAAAAAAAATAATATAACCAATGCAAAATCAGAAACTGCAAAAAAAGATCCAAGATTATATTCCAGAGAGTAGTTATGTTTTAGTTCCATGTAAAAATGTAAAAATAATTTGACTTCTTTTTTAATTTAATTTTAAAAAATATTCCTTTTCTTCAAAGAGAATTAGAGTGATAATTTTGAGTTAACTGGAAACTGATTTAGAATGGTCAAAAATCTATAAAAACATATTTTTATCAAATATATACAACAAAAATTAAACAACCTCTAAAGACCAAAAGTTTGAGAAAACATTTGAATTAAATTATAACTTATAAAACCGTTAATTATGAAGAAAATACATTAATTTTCATAAAACTAACCAAACTATATCTTTAATTTGTTTCTTGAATGGCTACAGAATTTTTAAAATTATATGAAAATTTTTAGAAATTATATGTAGATATACCTATTTGATTTATTTTTGAAATTAATATTGAAATGGATTTTTTGCTAAAAAAAATGAGAGAATTTTTGAAACATACATTAATGCAGCCAAAAATTTTTTTGGCATTTTATAATTTTTTACAATTAATAACTGTCATCATAAAAATCTATTACATATAAACTTGACTCATTTTCGATCCCTCTCTAAAGTATTAAGATTACAACATCATGACATTCTCTCCACGTATTTTCAAATATTTTAAAATTTTAACAATTGTTATGTAAAATTTCGAGTAGCTGAAAAATCATGGTTTGGGCATATTTCCTTACTACCTTATCTAATATATAAACAAAATACCGTGAAAAAATTCCATTGGCCTAATAACCTCTGATAAATATTGTACATATATGGAATTAAAAAACATCACTGTAACAAGTGTATAAATATAATCCACTAGTAATCACTAGATAAGATTTTTTTAAATCCGTCACCGATAAGCTAATTAGTAAGAAAAATTTGCAATATTAATTTGGTATAAAATTAAAATAATCTTAAAAACATTAGATGAAAACCAAGACAGTTTATAGTAAATTGTAGCTAGTAGTCGAAAATCCATAAAACTGAATATTGGTGATTTTATAACAAGAATCATAAAAATAAGCACAATCAATTTACGAAAATTAAGGTTTATATTTGTACAAATTTCCTATATCAATGTTCCTATATTAACTATGAAAAATTAGGGCTCATGGACAATTATTTCATTATAATCAGTAAAAATTTATGTTCGAAATTAATCTATCTAAGGGTAAAATATTTTTAAGTTTATTTAATGCAAGTAACCTATATCTGTATTGTTATTTTTAATTTTCTTTCTCAATTTGTATTTATATTTGTATTGTAATTTATAATGCCTAAATGACTAACTGAGTCGAGGCCAGTTAATAAAATAAAAATATAAAAAACAGAATCTATCTATTCTATTTTAGAATCATTAAAAAATCATAAAAAATAAGTTAGATAAATAGCAAGATGTCGTTCTTATATTTTTTACTGATTATCTTACTTTTAAATTGAAGTTTTTTTTACTTTTATTTGTCATCGATATTGTTTTCATAGAGACTAACTTCATATGTCAATATTTATCTATTATCTATTTATCACCCAATCTATTGATGATGATAATCCATATATTATTATCACGATTTTTGACAGGAAATTTTTTTGTGATGTTTATAAAAATAATTAATTCATTTTCATGTTTTCTATCCCATGTGCTTGATCATGACTTGCCAGAAATAAGAAAGTGTCAAACGATTCAGAATGTTTTCAAATACAAAAAAAAATAAAATTGGGGCTTTAGATTCTCTGATATAACTATACATTTTTATTGTAAAAGTCAGGCATAAATAAATAAAATATATAGATATTATATTTTAAGAAATTCTTCGACCTGCAATAGTATGGTTTCAAACAAAATGGTAACATTTATGTTATATAAATAGTTTACATTCTTTTTTTACTTTGGGGAACATTAAATTAAAAAAACTGATTGAATACTGCTTAATCAGAAATCTTGTGATCATCAACTTATTCTAAAGTTCTGCATAAAATTCCGTTAAAATTAATATTTTCATTTTAAAATCTAATTAAAATTTGCTAAATATGGATATAATTTTGAAAAAAAAAATATATAAATCTTGCTGGTATAATTTCTAAACAAAATTATTCATCATGTCATAAAAAATAAGCTACTCCAATATAATCCAATTTAATTCAGAATATTTCAAAAGAATTTTATATTGAGACATTAAAAAATGAATTCTTTAAATTATGCAAAACACAAATATCATAAATATTGACAGTACTGCATGAAAAACAAAGACATACAAAATTCAATTCAATTTGAGAGCTTATTATTTATGGTTGAAGTAGTAAGAGCTTTGGCTTCAGAACCACAAGGTTCCTGGTTCAGTTCCCGTCTCAAACAATCTGATATGAAGTTCTATTGTAATGTAAGTTTTCATATGAAAATCTTGGTCTGAATAATATATAAAACAAATAATAGTCAGAAATAGCTTTATAAAGAATCATAATAGAAATATAGAATAGTTCTAATTATTGTTTAGAATTTTCTTTCTACAGTATGTATTATATAAATATGTATTATACATTGTATCTTACGTAGGTATGTTTTTAAAAATCTGTTATCTTCAGATTTTTTGGATTTCACTGTAAACTTTATCAAAATATTTTACTTAATAGCAAACGATTGTTAATTATCTACGTCGATAGTATTGGTTTTGATAAAGATGACAAAAATAACATTCATTCTGATAAGATGCAATCGCGACTTAATTGTCACCGCCGATAATGATAAGCGACAAAGGTAAAATATAAAGGTATGGGGAATTCGACAGCAACTAAGTCAATGACTGTTTAAAAATCTATATAATAGTACATATATCTGTATAAATAATCTGTCATTAACTGTTTAAAAATCTTTGTAATTGTATATTTTCATAATTACTATTGCTTGGGTGGAGTGACTAGGGCGGATGCAGAGCACGCAATTATGAAGTGCAAAAAATGGGAAAAGGGTAGGCAAGAACTATAGAGGGAGATAGTTAAGCAAAAAATCTCCATGACAACCAATTTTATAACATTATTGATGACAGAAAAGAAGAATATATGGGGCGCTATATAATTAAATACAATCTAATAAAATTAAATTGTAAACTTAATTTATAAAATAAACAATATATATATATATATATATATATATATATATATATATATAAATGAAAATTTATATTACTACACATTGATATCAAGTTGTTTGAAGCAGGAATTGAACTATAAACCTTGTGGTTCCAAAGCCAAAACTCTCACTATTTCAGCCAAAAAAAGCTCCCAAATTGAATTAAATTTTTGCAACTTTCAATTTCTTTTTAGATAGCATTTTAAAGATATTCATAACGGTCATATAGATGATATGGATATATCAATGACTATTTAAATTGAAAAAATCAAACTATAATATATGTTTATCCTTAAACGGACCGCTATTCAAAAAATAATAAAGTTGTTCCAAATCAACTTTTAGAAGAATGTAGAATTAGTAAATAATTGGTTTAACTTAAATAAAATGATGAGAACGAAATTTTTATCAAATAAGGATCTGACTAAGTTTTTTAACAAAGAAGCCAATACAATAATTATTAGATATAACTAATTCACAAGGTGAAATAGTGTTATTCATTAAACTCAGTTATTGTTTTCATTAAATTAGTTTGTTCCCAATAATTGTTTGCAATATAAGTCCAACCCTTCATTTTATAAATTTAATATCTATTTTTATGTATGGAGTTAATAAATTTCTACGAAATTAAAAACTACAATTTATCTCTCATACCATCTTCAATTTTTCTAGGGACATAAAATGTTCCACAGATTGTGGACAACCGTAAATTCCTATAAATTTTCGAGAACAAACACTTAAAAACATATTTATTATTCTTTTCGAATTCAGTATCCTGTAAACGTTGAATCCAACATCATTTCTACATTTTAAAAGGTCTATTAAAAGAGTATAATTTATAGAGTAATAACTAGTTTTTATGAGTATCGTTAGGAAGTTTATAGTATTTGTATCAAAGTGCTTACTTTTACAATGTTAAGGTAGATATTATCTTGGAATTTATTTTTATTGGATCGGAAACGATAATAAAATAAACTTAAAAAATCTTGTTTCAATGTACATTTCTTAAAAAATGAGTAAAGATAGTATGTTATAATATATTACATATATAGCAAAAGACAATATTACCAGAATGCTAATTAGTATTTAACACAAATTTGCGATTGTGTTGAATAGAAGAGCAAGTGGTTGTAAAATTTGGAACCAAGTTTTGGATGCAATATTAAGTAATTATATCTTCACGAAGTTTCACAAGAGACTTGATTAAAATAGTATGATGCTTTTGGATAAAGATAGACAAATATTTACTTTATAAACTTCTAGTTTTAGCATATCCTGCAGCCGTACTATACATTGCGGTATAAAGTTTGTTTTTGGTTCTGAGAATAGCAGGTGTAAAGTTCATTTGATCAAGATCTTATATATGACAAAAATATGAAAAACATGAAATAAAATAAGAGTCACTAACCTTTCATCTTTCTCCACCTTAGGAAAGCTCCTCTTTCCGGCAGCCAAGACAGCACTTTCGCTCTGAGGTTCAGCAGATATACCCTGAGCCCTCTGCCTTTGGGTAGGAGGTCCCCTGACCCCAGGAGTCTGGACGCGGAATGGAAACACACTTTGGAATTTGTCCAGCTGCGATTTCAATTGAGCTATTTCCGACTCCAAAGACCTTATTTTCTTCTCCCTTTCCGCCAAAGCCATCCTCAAAGGCTCTACCACCATGGTTTCTATGGTCGCCACATCGTGCACTGGATTATTATTACCACTAAAATCAAAATCACCTTTACCCTGTCGGCCATCTTGGACAATCACCACCTCCTGCAGAGATGGCAATCTGCTGGGTATATTGGAATTAGGTGAATTTAAGTTATTATTCTGGCTCATGGGGTTGTAGTTGATCTGGAGTCCTTGAACTTGGTCCTGCAGGGGTAGATTTTTCGTCTCTGTGGCTGCTTGGAGGACATGGTCATTCTGCAACACCTCGGCGGTGGTATCCATGCGTTGCCGGTTCGGTTCCGCAACCGTGGGCCGCGGCGTAGACCTAAAGCACCACGGTATATCAAAACAGACACGCATTGATGGACAGTTTGAGTAACACAGACTTTCGCAACAATGTAAACACATTTACACCGCGTTGCACAAAAAGGTAAGGAGTTAGAGGGACACGTGTTTCATGGTATAAACAACGGAGGAAAACGGAGATGTCAGATGGACAAATTGTGTTGTTTAGATTATTTGCATTATTGATGTAAGTCAGTAGGAGGAAGTTGGTGCGGGTATTGTTATAAGGCGAACAATGATTTTAAATGAACAATACACATTTTTGTTGGAAGAATGCTAGCACGCGTCGATCGATTGTCAAGAGCACTTAGGAAAAATTAGCACATTTGCAGATGAAGCGAATAATTTCGTTTTGCCACCGAATTACGATTAAAATGATTCAATTATTGTTGTTGTTGTTATTATTAGAGTGATTTTGTTCCTGAGCACACGCGTCCGATCGGAATCTCATTGGATACTGGGCGCTTCTCAGAAAACACACAATTAACTCTTTAAACGTCAAATGAAATCTATCTCGTTCCCACATGCGCCTTCCTCTGATTCTCAGAGTATACTATTCGCTTCCAACGAGCCAGAATATATCTATCTGGTTACATTTGTATGCACATACACTCGTCGAATCTGAGTATGTGAGAATATATAACATTTATTTATGAAAATTAACTGAAGATGGTGGTATTTTGCTCGAAACGTTTAGAATATGTGCTGTGATAATTAGATTAAATACTTTGTGTAAAAGATTATGGACTTATTGTCGTACTGATTGAAATATAAATATAGTATAGAATGTTCTGTTATATATGTATATGTCTCTATATCCAAAATGAGAACATTATAAGATAGTGTGTGTATACATAACTACAAAGCCCTATAATTAGTAATATTTTTTCTGGAAAATACTATAAACGGTTTACCATGAAGGATTAGGCACAAGTACATGTACTACTTTACTAAAATTTGATCTAGTTTTTTGCGAAAAGCTAAACAACATCATTACAATTAATAATTTTTTAGATATTTACTTTAATTAATTAGTTATATATTAAAAATTCTACACATAAAATTAAGGGCTAGCCCGTAGATAAACGGTTAAAAGTGATGAGACATGATTCAGTGGTCCCGGCTTCGATACCCACTTCGAGCAGTCTGTTGTCAAGCAGCAGTGACAACGATTTGCACTTGGAAATATAAATAGCAATATGTTTCCAAGTGAAAATAGCCTTCACCCGGCATTGCTGCATCAATAAATAAATTTCAGCCCTATTAGATAAATTCTAATAATTATCAAATATGGATGGATTAACCATTGGGTTACCATATAAAAGTACGAAGTAAGCAGAAGTTTCAGCCCAACAGCTTATAGGACGTAAGGTTCTGATTGCTGTTAAGATATCAGAATTATAAAAAAAAAAAACATGCATAAAATTAAAAAGTATTTTTTTTAAGTTCAATTTTAATATAAAATTGTCCCTACACAATTTTTAAATATACTTGAAGTCGAGTTCTCCGGTAAAATAGACTGTAACATGGTGTTATGGCAACCCTAAGTCACACTGCTTTCTTGGTAGTAAAAACTGTCAAACTGCTAGGTATTTTTTGTGCATTAATGCGTTTTACATATAAATCCTAACCCAGAAAACGCACAAATTAAGAAAAGAATGTTATCGAAACTGCATCTATCTTATGTGCATTTATAACACATACATGAAGTTAAAATTCACGTACAAACGCCAGATTACACAACAAATAGCATTTTTAGTGCCATTTTATATGAAGAAAAGAGCGTAACATAACATTGCCATGATAACGCTAGGTTAAAGTCTATTTTACCAGAGAATTGGCAAACATGAATATAAGGCAAAATCTTATATTTAAAAATATAGAGATTGATTATTTATAAAATAAAAACTAATTAAGGTACTTCAGAGGTATTTAAAGTAAAAAATAAACCTTCTTGAGGAATCCATCCACCCAGTTAGTAAATAAAAACAAATTTAGGTACTTTCGAAACATCTACTAAACTTTCTTTAGAGCTTTACTAAATCTACTCAACTTACTTTAAAGCTTTTGCTTCTACTTAAATCTATTTGTTATTACTTTTAAAAAATTACTATTTTATTTATTTACTACTATTTTTAAAACAATTTTCTGTCAAAGTGTTATATTTATATTATCTTTATATTTAGATTTTTTTTTTTGTTATTGCTCTGAAAACAGATTTAGGAAATTTAGAAATATCTAATAAACTTTGGAGCTTTACTATGTGTCTCTACTTAAATTATAATCATGTCTATTATTTATAGCACACTTTTCTTGTATTTGATGATTATTTTTAGAATTGTTTTTTGTCAAAGTGTTATATTTATATTATTTTTATGTTTTTTGGTCATTGCTCTGAGGTGAGTCAAAACTATACACAAAACTAATTGGATGAGAAAGTCTGTAAAATCCTATTATTATACGTATTTAATGCCCTAATAAATAGATAACCAAAATGAAACTGAACTAAAAAGAAAGAACTAAATTATGTTCTTAAAATTCTCAGGTAGACTTTCATACGTTTTGAGCCCCAGTTTGGCTGTTTTTCACACAAATTATTTGATGAAATAATTATAAATTTAATTTAAAAACATAAACTGATTGTCAGAAAAAAAATAAAATGGAACCAACGACCTTTTCGAAATGTATGAAACAAACAAGTTTCATTTTTTTTATTAAATACTTTCGTTTTTCTTTTTAATATGTGGATGGATGCCTGTTAAAAAGCTTTTTTGTTTTTTTTTTGTATATATCACCATCTGCAAATTTATTTATACTACAAAAAATTACTTTTACAGCAATAGTCTGGTTGTAATATAAAAAAGTTAAGTCAATTTCTCTAAAAACGATAGTTTTTATTTTTTCATTACTTTTGGAACGATATTCAAAAACAGAAAAAAAATTGTTGTAAAAATCTAAATTATGATAAAATTAATTTTATAAATTTAAAAAATTATAAATCAATAATTTTTCAATTGAAAAAAATTATTTTCAATCAAGATACTAATTATTAAAATTAAATTATTTTCAATGACCGTGAGAAAAAATGTTAAAAAGAATATTAATTGGTCCATATTTTGTTATATATATCCATATTGCCATGTGATTAGCAAATGAACTGTAAAAAATCGATAAGTATAGTTGTAAAATAAACAAAATATATTTGAAAAATCGGAATGCAAAATATAAATATTACAAAGAAATATGTTTATATATATATATATATATATATATATATATACATAATTATATTTCTTAGTGACCTTGAAAATGCGCAACTCGATGCAAGTGTAAACACATGTATTCTCACACAATCAATCATACGTCTTTTGTGATAGATATGATAAATGTAGGACATACCTAATCGATTATAGGTTTAATTTCATATTTTTCAAATTAATAAATAACACACATAACTTTGCGAAACTGATACAACAGATAAAAAATGACATTGAAAATCATACGAATGAAATCCCAGATAGAAGAAATATAGTAATGGACATAGTGATAAATGATGAAAATGGGAAGAAGAACTTTTAATAATTACTTAAAATTTGATAATTTTATTATTACTTGTTTCAAATTGTTTTTTATTTAACAATCAGAACTATGTTAGCCCTACAATTTTGTGGCTTTATAAATAAAACAATTTTTATTTATAAATAAATATATGTGTACCTTATAAAAAGTTAGCATAAAATACCCCTTACGTTTGACTTTGATATTTTGGAAAACTGTATTTGTTTGTTGTGTTAAAAAGAAAGTATTAACTTTTTTGTGTTTTTCTAATATATTGTATATCAAACCAAAGCTATTTTCACTAGGAAACACATTGCTAATACAATTTTCTTGCCAATAATAATAATTTAATAATAACATAATTTTGTTTAAATATCTCTAGATAAAGAGCTAAACATTGTGAAACTATATAAAAGTTTTGGTTAATTGCAAGATTATATTTATTTATTATTTTGTTTATAATATTTAAAATATTTAACATTTATTAAAGCATGTATTTAGCGTGTACTAAAAATCACCTAACTTTTACATTTTTTGTTGAAAATGTATAGATAATAATAATAACATAATTTTGTTTCAAATATCTCCAAATAAAGAGCTAAAAATTGTGAAACTATATTAAAGTTATTTGCAAGATTATATTTATTTATTTTTTGTTTATAATATTTAAAATATTTAACATTTATTAAAGCATATATTTAGCGTGTACTAAAAATCACCTAACTTTTAAATTTTTTGTTAAAAATGTATGAGATAATTGCCAAAATGTTCGATAAAACTAATTTACAGTGCATCTATAAAAGAAAAATTCATCATTTTGTGCAGGTTTTTTTAAAGAAGAAATATGCTTATTTTATTATATCCTTAAATGAAACACTTATTTTCTTTTTTCTTTGTTCTATTATTTATTATTTTTTTTATTTTTTTTTCTTTCGATTCCTCTCGTTTGTGTTAAAATAGAGCTTACAAGATTAATTGTACATTGATTGCTATTTTAATAAATAAATAAATAAAAAACAAAAAAATATTATATAAATTATAAATACACATCACGAAATAAAAATAACATTTTTAAAATATATATGCTGCTAGTTATAAAACAAAAAAATACAAAATATTGTAAATTACTTACAAAAACTGTACAAAATTTTTAATTAAAATTATAAATGCATTTCTCCGATAAAAATGATAAATTTTTCAAAATAACAACTGCATCAACTAAAGAAAATTTATATTTTTTTTGGAGAAATGCAATCATAATTTCAATTAATAAATTTGTACATATTTTATAAGTAATTTACAATGTTTTGCATTTTTATTAAATTTGCAGAAAATATTGTTTATTATTATATACTAATATTTTCTTGTTTTAAATCCAGATAAAAAGCTTTAATAGTAAAGCTGTAGAAAGTTTTGGATCAATTGGTAAAAATAAAAAAAATATATATTTGCAAGTGTAAATTGATGTCACTACTGCTTGACATCAAGCTAGCCGAGGCCGGAAT